GAAGAGAGACTGCCCGAAGCTCAAGGAGAAAGAGAATGGCAAGAAAAAGGGCCCGAATGCCAATGAGGTGAATATTGCGAAAGGCGATGATTCTGATGATTCGTGCTTTTCTCTACTTATTACTCCGGAGGTGAACCATGTGGATGCATCAGATTGGATGCTTGATTCCGGCGCTACTTTTCATGTGACCCCTAGGCGAGACTGGTTTGCATCTTTTGAGAAAGTCGACGGGGGCGTTGTTGTCATGGGAAATGATCAATCCTGTGGCGTTTGTGGGATAGGTACCGTACGGATTAGGATGCACGATGGAGTAGTCCGTGAGTTGAAGGAGGTGAGATTTGTTCCTCAACTGAAGAAAAATCTTATCTCAGTTGGAGCTTTGGAGGCGAAAGGATTCAAGGTGACTTTCGAAACGCTGTAGCGAAGGTTACTAAGGGATCATTGGTAGTGATGAGGGGAGTCCGTAATCGGAATTTGTATTATCTGAAGGGAAGCACCGAGATTAGCCAGGTTGCTTCGGCTATTTCAGAAGCGGACATGAGCAGACTTTGGCACTATAGATTGGGGCACACAGGTAAAAAGTCACTGCAGGCATTGGGCAAGCAGTGGCTATTGAAGGGAGCCAAGAATGGGAAGATTAAGTTCTGTGAGCACTGTGTTCTTGGCAAGAAGACGAAGGTGAAGTTCGGGACTGCCATTCATCAGACGAGGGGCATCCTGGATTACGTGCACACAGACGTTTGGGGTCCTACCAAGACTGCATCACTTGGTGGTCGACATTGGTTCGTCACTTTTGTAGATGACTATTCTAGGCGTTGTTGGGTGTACACCATGACGAAGAAGAGTGAAGTCCTAGATTTGTTTGTGGAGTGGAAGAAGAGATTGGAACTGCAGACTGGGAGAAAGATCAAGACGTTGCGATCCGACAACGGTGGTGAGTATACTTCTGACCCCTTTCAGCAGCTATGTCGAGACGAGGGCATAGAGAGACACTTCACAGTTAGTCATACACCGCAGCAAAATGGGGTGGCAGAGAGGTTGAATCGGTCTTTACTGGAGAAGATCCGATGCTTATTGTCGCAGAGTGGTTTGGAGAAGATCTTTTGGGCTGAGGCACTTACATATGCGAGCCACCTCATTAATAGGCTGCCTTCATCTGCGATTGAGGGGAAAACCCCTATGGAGATGTGGTCGGGAAAGCCAGCACATGACTATGACCAGCTCAAGGTATTCGGGTGCCCTGCATATTATCATGTTAGAACTGATAAATTGGAACCTCGAGCTAGGAAGGCCATATTTGTAGGATTCAAGCGTGGTGTCAAGGGATACAAGCTTTGGGATCCAGTTGATAAAAAGATTGTGCTGAGTAGGGACGTCACGTTTGATGAAGCTTCTATCTTGAAGCTTCCCAGCTCTCATCAGGTGGAGAGCGACCCGACGGAGGAGATATCGCAGGTGGTGGAGATCGATGCAGCTCCACATTGTCCAGATGGTACAGTATCCATGCAGGTGCCGACTGAGGTGACGCCAGGCGAGCACGACGGTGACACGGAGGATACGAGTACAAATGTGCAGGATCGGGAACCGACGGCTCAGGTTCAGGATTCTATTGTGGTTCGGAGACAGAGGAGAAACATACAGATGTCAGCACTGTATGCCGACACAGTTGCGTATGCACTTCCGGTGGAGAGTATCGATGAGTTGGTGCCTACTACATTCAGAAAGGCCGAGCAGACTTCGGAGGCTGATTCGTGGCAGGTGGCTATGCAGGAGGAGATGGAATCTCTTCATAAGAACGATACATGAGAGCTTGTTGAGCTTCCAAAGGGATGGAAGACAATTGGTTGCAAGTGGGTATACACGAAGAAGGAGGGCATTGAAGGCACTCCGTTGAGATTCAAGGCTAGGTTGGTTGCGAAGGGCTATGCACAGGAGGAAGGTATTGACTATAATGAGGTTTTCTCTCCGGTGGTGAAGCACTCTTCGATTCGGATTTTGCTAGCTTTGGTGGCACAGTATGGTTTGGAGTTAGATCAATTGGATGTGAAGACGGCATTTCTTCATGGTGATCTTGATGAAGAAATATATATGACTCGGCCATTGGGATTCCGAGTTGCAGGAAAAGATAAGTTGGTTTGCAGAATAAAGAAATCACTATACGGTTTGAAGCAGTCTCCTCGACAGTGGTATAGGCGATTTGATGGTTTTATGCTTAGTCATTCGTACACTCGGAGCCAGTTTGATCCTTGCGTATATTTTTGCAAGTTAAAAGGAGGTACGTACATCTATTTGTTGCTCTATGTCGATGACATGTTAGTTGCCTCTACTTCCAGGTCGACTATAGATGAGTTGAAAGTTCAGCTTTCAAATGAGTTTGAGATGAAAGACTTGAGTAAGGCGAAGCGCATTCTAGGGATGGAGATCGGCAGAGACAAGAAGAAGGGCAGAATTTGTTTGACACAGATGGCTTATTTGAAGAAGGTTCTACAGCGATTCCATGTTAGCATGAATACGAAGCCAGTTAGTGTACCATTGGGAGCCCATTCGAAGCTTTGTCGAAGACTCCATATGCGAGTGCGGTTGGGAGCTTGATGTACGCGATGGTATGTACGAGGCCAGATTTGTCACAGGCGGTAAGCATGGTATCGAGATACATGCACGATCCAGGAGTGGGTCATTGGGACGCCGTGAAATGGATTTTGAGGTACATTCGAGGTACGCTCAATGTTGGTTTAGTTTATGAGTGGGACACTACAGGTGGGCAGCTATGCATTGGCTATGTTGATTCGGATTATGCTGGGGATTTGCATAAGCGCCGGTCTACGACGGGGTATGTGTTCACTTTGACCCGTGCGTCGGTGTGTTGGAGATGCACCTTACAGTCGACGGTGGCTTTGTCTACGACGGAGGCAGAGTATATGGCAGTTACGGAGGCTGTGAAAGAGGCTATTTGGCTTTGAGGACTTTTGGAGGAACTTGGTATATCGCAGAGGTCCGTCACTATTCATTGTGATAGCATGAGTACTATCTATTTGGCGAAGAATCAGGTTTTTCATGCGAGAACGAAGCACATTGACATTCGTTATCACTTCATTCGGGATGTTCTTGAAGATGGCGATGTGGAGATTGTTAAAGTCCACACGAAGGATAATCCGGCAGATATGCTCACTAAGGTGGTTCCGAGCAACAAGTTTGATCATTGTCGAAACTTGTTGCATATTCGTGATTGTTGAGACCGTTGGCGGCCATTTGGGTGAACTACGTTCGGCTTGATTCCTTGGGCAAGAGGATACGTAGGCAGTCTTTCAGATGCAGTCGGTATGGATTAGTTGAGTTGATGGGGTGAGATTGTTTGGACTCTCGTTCGGGTTCTCGACTTGTTGTGAATTGAGTTCGTACTGGACACAACAAGTGGGACATTTGGATGCTTTAGTGTCGGCTCAGTTTTGAAAAAACTTCACCGAGGTGAAGAATTGTGTGAATGTGGGGGCCACCCATGTGAGCCTGCCTTTGTTTCTTTTGCGCATGAAGAAGTCGGATGCGGCTAAGTTCGATGCGGCCCATGAAAACATAAATTCCGCAGCTATATATAACAGGATTTCCGAGGTTTCTAGGTGAGCAAGGATTTGTTTCGTGGAGATTTTTTTGGCGGCTGCGGCAGAGAGCAAACAGTGCAAAGCAGTTTTGGTTTTCTTCTTTTTGTGGCTGCAGTTGAGGAGATTTTGTGTAGTCTCTTTTAGGGTTTTGTGCATCCCTTTGAGAGGGCTTTGTGAGGGATTTGAGAGTGTTGTGTGAGGGTTTTATTTGTGAGATTCTTGTGTAAACCCTAGTTGTATTCTCTCCCTCTATTAGTAGATCTCCCCCCTCCTTGCCCCGTGGACGTAGGCAATTTGCCGAACCACGTAAAATTGGTTGTCTCGCTATTTGTGTGATTTGTAATAGTTTTTAGGTTCCCTCGACGCGCAGTCCTAGAGCTGACGAGAGGAAGAGCTAATATCCCACTTTGATGAGATATTAGGCTTCAGATTCTTGTTCCCTTTGAGAAACAAGAATTCTTATTGCGATCTGACTCTCTTGTTGTGCTGCCGAAGTGCTGCCGAAATTTCCGCTGCTCGCAACATTTTGATCTCATGTTGTTCACATGATTTATGTTTACTCTCTTGAATAAGGAATTCAATTGAAAGAATTAAATAATAAAGAAATTTAGTCTATGAATATGATGATAGAAGTGAAAAAAAAAGTCTTCAGCGAAGCGGCGAGATCCGCAGTCAAGAAGAGAAGAAAAAGTTGTTGGAAGATGGGGGAGGAAAAAATAAAAAAGAAAAGTTCTCAAGTTGCATTGACACGTGACAAGTTTTGATCAGATAGAGTTACCACATGTGTGCGGACGTAGGGTGCATTTGTTTCGTTTTCATAATTTTATGGATATAGGTTTTTTACCATAATATCTATTTTCGTAGATTTCTATGCATATTCTAGAAATGATTTTTTTTTTGTTAGTTTTACCCTTAAAGCAAGAGGAGAAATGCATTTCCTTCAAAATCTATAGTTTGGCACACACCTAAAAATAAAAGGAACCAATCTTTTAGGAAAAGGAGAAAGAAAGAGACAGGTCGTAAAAAAAAAAAAAAGAAGATACAATTGTAACCTCTTCATAACATTTAATTGCCAAAATATTAGACTCCCACGTCACTTTCTATCAAAAACCTCTGATCTGGTCGTCAAAGAAATGAGCCACTTTCGGGAGTTTTAGATCACCGGGTTTCCATAAAATTTATGCGAACAAAAATATAATTTTCAGAAACGTCGTAGTCTAAGAAATCCAGATCTGTTAGCGATCTCAGAACTATTCACGCCGAGTGCGCGTAAGGGCCACGTGTGTAATTACATGGTAACGCAGGGCATTAGTGTGTAATTAACCCCTTAATTAAAGATAATCCGTATGATTTTCAGTTACGAGGCTCGTAACAGCAAAATATTTTACTCTCTAAAATAAATTCCATCTTCGTCTTCCTTCTCCCACGACCTCACGATCTTCTCACTGCTCCCTTTCCCCCCATCTTTTTATACCTTCTCTATTCTCTATATATAAATATATTCCGCTCTTAATATTATTATTCCATTCCAGCGCACCTAACAAAACTATTAAAAAAAAAGGGACAGGAAAAAAAAAAAAAGAGGGAGGAAACAAACAGAGATCGATCCAGTTTTTTTTTTTTTCGCTCACCCCGACAACGAGTAAGACCATCTCTCTCTCTCTCTCTCTCTCTGTGATAGATCTCGGATTTTAATGTAAGATCCGACTCTCCCAGCTACCAATTTCTCTTGGGGTTCGATCCTCGGTAACAATTTTTTTTTTTTTTTTTTGATCCCGGATTTATTTAGGGCTTTCTACTTTCCCCTTTCTTAATCCGATTTTATCGGAGGTTTATGATTGATATACCTTTGCAACTGAATCTGCGATCCTATGTTGAATTGTTGCCAGCGGCTGTTTTGATTTGAAATTTTAGCAAATTTTCCCCGCCTTGCTGATTGGTGTTGATTTATATTAGCTGGAAATTTCGTTGTTGTCAAGGGGGGAAAAAAATTTTATTCTTTAAAAGTTAATCTCACCAAAATTAGAAAATTTGGTGCTATACGGATTTCCTGAGTATTTTAATAGAATTTTGAGCTGCAAAATCCAAACTTTTCTGTGCCTTTTCCTCTTAACTATTGCTTTTTGTTTGCAGTTCAGGTCCTGCTGCTTGGCATGAAGGCCAAGGGCCTTTTTTAGGGAGTTTACAACTATGAATTTTTTGAGCAATGTATAGCGGCTCTTATTTGCAACCTTCTGATTCTAGAGTTGGCAAATCATGGCAAAACTTGCGGGTCTTGGGCGCAGGTTAATTAATTATACAGAAATCGTAATTTAATGATAGTCCTTATACTGTTGCTTTGGTCTTTTAACATCTCCGATTCGATTATACTGCGATTTACAGTGGATTTCTTAGGCACTCAAATGAAAGTTTGAGACTTATCATAATGACAATCATTGGAGTTGTAGTCGGCGTTTTGATTGGTATTTCTTTCCCTGCAGTCAGCATAACCAAGGTATAGAATCTAGGCTTTCCAATTTATTTATTATGTTATCTTATATTTCCCATATGAACTGCTGGAATATTAGCTAATATGTGATATTTCATGTTGAAAACTGCAGCTCCACTTTCCTTCCAGCATTATTTCATACATAGAAGATAAAAACTCTGGCATCACAACCCAAGCGCTATTGAATCATGCTTGGACTTCCGCCAGTCAAAACAAAAACAAGCCGTCAAGTTCAGAGAGTGCAAAGGTACTTGCAACTTAAGATTTGTCAACTACGCGTGGTTGTTTTTTTTTTCATTACAATATTTACTAGTGTTATTAGAAGCCTCGTGCTTTGTCATGCAATATTTACTCATGCTTTTTCATTACGATATTTACTAGTGTTATTAACATTTGTCAACTACACATGGTTGTTTTTTTTAATTACGATATTTACTGGTGTTATTAAAATCCTCGTGCTTTGTCGTGCAATAGTATGTATTATGATCTACTTGTAAAAGTATTATCAGTTTAGTAAGAAACTACTAACTAAATACGCCCATCATTGGAAAAAGACATCTCAGCAACACACAATTCTTCGCTATTACATTGTGTAGCAGATAGATGAGTTAATCCCTGACCTTTGTACTTAAGGGCATGTTTGGCTCATGGATTTTAATTTTGGATTTTGTGGATTTTTCATAGATCCGAGGATATCCTCAGATTCCCCCAAATTCTCATTCTTCGTTTGGTTGGTGAGATAATGCAATGGAGAATAGGTTTTCTAAGAATCTTTTGTTTGTTTCCATTCAAATTGTAAATGTCGGATTATGTTGTAAACCCACTAATGATGGGTTTGTAGTAAAAAGGGTTATTTGCACTTCAATATCCCCAAAGTTTACCTTATTTTTTTTTTGCCAAAAAGTGCTCTAAACTTTCAGCAAAATTTAACTTTGATTTCTTAAAGTTTTCTTTTGCCTACTTCGAAGTTCAAAAAAGTTAAAATTGATACCTCAAGGTGAACAAAATTTAACTTTGATAACCAAACTAAATTATTTTGTTTATTTTTGTTAAAGTTTGGGGGTATCAAATCGAAATTTTTGTTATAGTTTGGGAGTACCAATGTTAAATTTATTGAACTTTGGGATATATTTTGGGCAAATATAAACTTTAAACTATCAAAGTGAAAAACAAGGTAAAGGTTGAGGCATTTTCTAGCCAATTTTCGGTGTCTGGGTATCACAGCCTAAAATTAAGTGCTTGTTGAAAAGAGAAAGGAATTTTCCACTATGTAGTATATTTTGGTTAATCCCACAATTTCTATGAAGTTTCAATTTTGCCTTCCATTTCTTCCTTCCTTTTTTTTTCCTCCTCCCTCTTCCCTTAAAACATTGATTATCTCCATATGGGGAAAAAAAGATTCAGAATAAATTTCTTGTTGGAGTTTATTTGTGATTCTATATAATGAAATAATTCAGCAATTTGAGATGTTGCCATATTGCTTCTTAACTCTTCCATAGAAAGTTAAGTTGAAGATGAAATAGCTAGTTATCAAAACTGTTGACAGGGAGTATCCTACAATTTAAAGGTAACTAGATTTACTTAATGTAGTTCAAAGTTGTAAAGTGGGCACGTGTGAAAATGATGAACAAGTACAACACCTCAATTTTCGATCGCTTCCAAGAGAAAGTGGGCATTTGATTTAACTAATTAATCTAGTTGTGTCATTGAAATTTATTCTTTTCAACATGAAAAAATTGAAATGTCTGAAAATGCGAAATAATGGAACTAGGCGGGGGTAGATTAAGAAAATGACTTCATGATCTAAGAACCTATTTAAGATATTCTAAGGACATAAAATAGGGGGCTTTCTGGCTAAGATACATTAAGGTATAAGAATCTCCACATGTTAGTAAGCTTCATTGATAAATTTATTTAAGTGACTGCATGAAATGTTATGTGGCAGCCTCGACTATTCAAAATGTTTGTTATACTTGAATTCCAGTTGGATGATGCGTAAAACTATGAAAAATAAATGTGTATAGCACATGTCTAATTAAGATGTGTGCACCGCATAGTCAATACTATAATTGTATTAGTCAAGGAAAGCCTCACAGTGGTATATCAATGTCGACGTGATAGTCATGCTTTTGTAAGAAAGATAACTATAGCCTTTCGAGAAAATAGAGATTCCCTGTAGATTTATATCTTTTAACCTAATTAAATCACCGAGAATCTCAGTTTCTAGATTCAATTTTATTTTTTCTTTGAAAAGTAACAATATTATTTCTAGTAAGAAAAAATCCCCTATTTTTGAAATTCATAATACTTTCAAAATAACTTTCTAAAGGAATGTTATCTCTTAGTGTCAAAATTAGATATTATTAAAATTCAAATCGACTTCTTTATTATATTGTAAAACAATAATAAAATGATGACGACGGCTGAGGCTACATTGGTCAAATGAAATAGCCACCTAGTCCTCCATAATAATATTTTCTCTTGAGCGCACATCATGAGCACTTGGGCAAACTTTTTCACACCAGTGAAAATTTGTGCATTGAGCTAAAATGTGCACCCGAGCCA